TTGCGATCCACTCGGCCTTCGGGTATGACGTCAGCACGTCGCTCCTTCAGCTGGTTCGAAGCACCATGCTTGAAGGGTCCAGCTCTCCAGCAAAGTTCGCCTCCCACTCAGCACTCGACAACCTCCTGGAGGGAAGGTGAGGGGCGAACGGGAGAGGCTCTGACAGCGCTGACTTGGTGTACACTGCGATCTTGGAGGACAGAACTATCATGTCTTGCATCTCCGACTGCCGTATCAACTTCAGTCGTGCGTCCTGGAGAGACCTTTCAGCTGGGACCTTGCTGAGCTGATTTCCTCCCTTGTCCTTGTCCTGCGGTCCTTCAGTCGCAGACTGAGCCTCGCTCCCTCCCTCTCACCTCGTCCTTGAATACGTACTTGAGAAGCTCGCACCTGTCCTCCGATCGTGCAAACAGCAGCGCCCACACGAGGCTGACCTGAGGGAGGAGGTGAGAACAGGAGGTGAGAACATGAGAGCTGCAGCTGGCTGCTCTACAAGCTCGTCGTCGTCCATGTGAGGCGGTCGAGTAGCCGCGCTGTCCTGATCCACCTCGGAGTTCCGGCCAGACGACTCCTGTCGTGAAGTGATGAGAAAGGGAGAAGATAGGAAGAGAGCGAAGCGGAATGAGGGAGAGAGGACGGCGAGGAAGGAGAGTGAAGGAAGAGGGGGGGGAGAGAGAGAGGACGGAGAGGACGGAGAGGACGGAGAGGAGGAAGAGAGGATTGGTGCAAGCAAAGGAGGGATGACCAGGGAGCGGGAATCTGCGGCGATGCTCTTTGCGAGCTGAAGCAGTCTCCTCGCGATGACTTCTGCTCTCTTTGATGGTACCGGGAGCTCGTCCAGTCCCAGCAGCTTGCGCAAGCCATCGTCTGCCAGGAGCTGAGCCGCGTTCAGAGGGCAGGAGGGCTCACAGCACAGGGACGGCCCTGCAAAGGCGCGGACAGCCTCGTACTCGTTCTGACTGAAGGCTGAGGAGGAAAAGGTCACGCGTGTGACGTGCGTGACGTGTGTCTGTCTCGCGCGTCTACCTGCTCTGATGAACTGAGGAGGAAGAGTTCTGATCCTGGGGATGCCTGCGAGGATCAGGTGGAGGGCGAGGGGAGCGGGAGAAGGAGGTACCTGCGCTCCTCTCACTACTGTATTCCACCCTGTGACTTGATCAGTCCAAACAAGACTGCAGAAGCTCCTCACCCCCCGCTAGATGTTTTGCGCTTCGATGATTCCTGAACAAGACTATCAGCACTTGTCAATTCAGTCATCCTACAATCCTCCGATTCAAGGCAGGATTTGATATACTTTCCCACGGCAGAGTATCTTCCATCTTTTTGCATCTCATGACCCATAATCCTGATAATTTCCATCCTCTCCTCTCCTCCTCACCTCCCTTCCTTACAATCCTTCTTTTCTCTCGTCTCCCTTAAACTCCTCTTCTCCCCCCTCCTCCTATCTTCGCCTTTCCTCCTGCCCTTCTCTTCCTCCTCCTCCTCCTCCTCCTTCCTTCCTTCCTTCCATCCTTCCTCCTTCCTC